AGAGCCACCCCCAAGTGGGGGCAGTTCCTGGAGGATGCGCTCGATGGTGGCGGTGACCAAGGGCGCCACCGCCTCCTCGCACTGGCCCGCTAGAAGGCTGCCCTGGTAGTCATCGAAGCGGTTGGCGAAGCAGCGCTTGGTGTCCATGCTGTTGCCCGTGCCCCTCAGGGTCGAGCTGGGACCGCTTAAGGTTGCGTCCTGCCACCCAGGCGCACGACCTCTGAAGCACTCGGATGACTGCGTATGCGGCGGGGATGGAGCGAGAAGGGTGAGACGGGAGGTGACAAGAGGAGGCGGGCGCGAGGAAAAAGCACGGAGCGGATGGCCAAGTGGGGCACCAGGCTGCCGCGAAGCTCGGGAGTGAACGCGGGGGATGCGCGTCGTGCGCCCCCGTGCCAGAGGCCGCGCCCTCGCCGAACCCGCCCCCTCCTGCGCCGCCGCAGCTCCGCCGCCTCTCGGGGGGCCGAGGTGACTTCAGGCAGGACCCGCGCGGGGCCGCTCCACCCCTCCCGCTGCTCCGCCCTCGACTCCTCCCCTCCGGGCGGAAGGCCAGGGACGTGCGGGACAAACCAGAATGCTGAGACTGGGCATTAACACACCTGGCGTGGAGGTGATGACCTTAAGTCCCTTGTATACTTCAAGCGTGGTGCTCAGGTCAGAGGTATGCGCATCACCTGCGGGCGCATTAAAACCGAAACACCTCAGGCTTCATTCTAGATCTCTTGAATCAAACCGAATATTTAGCAAGATCCCTAAGTGATTCAAATGCACATTCAAGTTGTAGAAGCCACTAAACTAGGCTAAAGTACGGGGGTGGGGATGGGGGATTACGGGAAACTCCGTTAAAATAAAGGAAACTTCTAAGTTTGTCTTTTATTTTGGACACTTTGGAATTTTCATCCTCTTTCTAGACTAAAGGCTAGGCTGTTTGTGTACATTGTGTTTCCTGTTATAAAGACAAAATGTCCCGATACGGAAATTTGTTCATCTTGGCTTCTTTTAGTTGTTGTTGTTTTGCTTTGCTTTGTTTTCTTGGGAATATACAGGATTAAAAACTCAAAGTTAAAGCAAAGCAATAGGGTCTCCTCTATCAATCTCTTTCCCCACCCCGTGTGTAGAATAAGAGGCCAATAAACATCTTAACAAATTGTGCTAGTTAAAACAGGAATAAACTCTATGTGAGAATTTAAGTAGGGTTCTGATAAACCTGCCGTTCTTAGTTTCCTTCTTACCTCCCTTTCCTATGTTCTCTCCTGTTTTCTGTCGACCAGCATTAGTGAGGTTTTCCTATGTGTCCTGCAACCTCAAAATGTATGAGGAATATAGACATGGTCCCAGGTCTCTTGGAGCTTACACTTCAGTGGGAGAGACAGAAAATAAACTGTTACACAAACTAGTTGCCTTTCCCTAGTTTGTCCCTCATCCTTGTTAATGTCGTCTGGGAAAAAACTTAAATTTGCCAAGATTATGGCCAGGACTGACACATTCACACAGTTCAGGATAGTGTGGCCATCATCCTCCCATAATGCTACCAAAATAGGCTTAGTTTTAATACTACAAATGATGATGATGACGATGATGATGATTATGATAATGCAGCTAAGTCCCCTTTACACAGGGACTTTGATAAGTTAAAGGAAGAAAGAGCATCAAAGGAGTAAGTGAAATATTTAATTTAACCTTGAGGCTTCCTCCCTCATACTTCAGGTGAAATAGGCATTAGGGATGATTGTTTTCCCCTCAGACATAGAGACATAAAATACAAGATTTTCCAGGCAGAAATGAAGCCTTATTCCACTTTATTCCTCTGCTTCTCACCCTGTCACAAATCTAGAGACAGTCATGCTAATTCAGACTCTGATTATCCTTCAGCACTGCCCCCCAGAGGTGGCATCAGCAGCAATGACAGAGACCTGTGCTGACTTCAAAAGAGAGCTGTAAGCATGTCACTAAAAGAAGGAGCTCTGCTTTTCCTCAGTTTTATTACTTGTCTATTGTTCTGAAATGCTGTACAATGATCACAGACTCTCATAGCATCTAAAAAGTTTATTGTTCAGGCATCTGGAATCTTGGCTGGATGCATTTACGTATCTAGATGTAGGCTGGCTCTTGCTTTGAGAGACTGAAGGAGCTAGGCTCTGGCCTACATGTGCCTTGTCCTCCAGCAGGCCCACCCCAGCATGCTTGCCTTCCAATGGCAGAGGGCCAAGAGCAAAGTAGAAGTGTGCACGGTTTCTTAAGGTCTAGACTCTGAAATGGCATACTCTTTTCTGTCTCATTCTATTGGCAAGTCACATAAGGACATAGCAAGTGTCTTTGTAGAACTCCAAAATTCAATGACAAAGAGTGTGAATACAGGGCATGGGCTCCTAGAGGTTTATGGGTACAAAGCAAGTGATGTGGGAAAAGCAAAAAGTTAAGGGTATCCAGAAGCCTTCTTGAACTCACAAGACGAAAGAAGCCTTTAACCTATATACTGCTTTCCCAAAGATCTTACTGCTTTCTCTGCTGCACAGCCACCTGCCCAATCTCCGGCCCCAAATATTCTTTGGGCTGGAGCAAGCTACTTAAATCACATGAAGCCCCACCTCTAATTGTCATTTACTTAATTTACAGGCAGTGTTATTTATTTTATTATCATTGCTCCATTACAGTATACTCTCTGTGAAGGCAGGAAATTTTTGTTACATTTATTTATTGATGTATACCAGTAGCCTAGATTGGTCCCTGACTATTCTATTACTACTACACGGTAGTAGGTTCTCACTAAAAAATTTATAAAATAAATGAATTCACATAACAATATTACTGTTAATGTACTCTGGTGTATAAAATACAAAATAAGATCTTCACTGAAATTTTAACTTGATTTGTTTAAACTCCTATAGTAGTATTGGGTTTTTATGCTCTCTCTTGTACATGGAGGAATGTCAACCTTCTACAGTTTCTGCATGCTAATTTTGTATGTTTCACCAGAAGATCTGGTGACCTCTATACTTTACCTTGAATTAGGTGACTTCACACATTTTATTTTTACTGATTTATCCTATGTGACAGATATATTTTCCAAATATGGCCACAATAATATCTCACATACCACATACTCCTCTACTATCAGTATGACCTTGACATTTCTCTCTTTGGGAGGTAGGGACATGTCAACTACTCTTGAATTTCAGTAGGCTTGTAACTCTCTCAAAACCAGTAGACTGTGATGGAAATATCACTGCATGACATTCAAGGCTAAATGATGAAAGGGGATGCAGCTTCTATCAGATATCTTACAGCACTTGCATTTCAACCCTTGTGTTGTCTTGTAATAATCTAACTACTCTGAAGCTGCCATGTTGTGAGGGAGCACAGACAGCATGAAGAGGGCCACACGAAGGTGCTTGTGAGTATAGCACAGCTGACAGATTGAACTAACAGGGCTGGGGATTTAGCTCAGTGGCATCGTGCCTGCCTCACAAGTGCAAGTGTGCTCCCCAGTACCGAAAAACAAACAAACAAACAAACATAAACATCAACAAAAAACAGAATAAAATAAAATAACAGCTATGTGATGGAGCCACCTTGAGTATTCAGCCTGGTAGAGCCTTCAGATACTTGCAACTTCAAGTGAGAACTGCTATCCCAATCTCTTCCAGATTTTCTGATTCATAAAATTATGAGCAAGATATAATATTTATTTTAAGCCTCTAAGTCTTATGATAATTTATTATGCAGCTATAATAACTAGAACATCCTGCTTGTTTCCCATTATCCAATGCCATACAAGGCCCCTCTAATCAATAATATCTGCTCAACAAGGCAATGAGCTGTTAGGAAAAGAAATGGTTCAGAGCAATCTAGAAAACAGGAATGTACAGTCACCCCTCAGAAAATTGTATTATTTCACGATATTTCCAGTTGAACTCCCAAAAGTATTAATGACCTAACAAGAAATATGTACTATACAACATCTTGCAGAGGCCATTTATTTCACCTCTATCTGCAAGATTCGTCCTGATATTTACAGAATTTCTCTCAGCATTTGCTGACAGGCAGCTCCCAACATATGGTTTCCATGATCTTGCTGAATTGTCCAGTTTCTAGTTTTTCTTTAGTATTTCCTTACTATGCAAATTATGCAAAGCTATGAATGGAAAATAGTTTTAGTGGTTTCATCAAGTAAAGCACATAAAAATTATGCAAAATTACCAAATAAAAAAAGTATTCAAATCAAAATGCTCCTCTAATGGAAATCATTGCTATACAGGGGTGAATATGAAAAAAAAATCAGCATTTGTATAACTATTAAACCATACCCCTTAAGGTTTAACTCATTTTATGAAATATGCTATCTTAATAATGCTTTCAGAAAGTTTTCCAAATTTTTTCTCCAAGGATGCATCCTGGAAGTGGTTGAAATAACTAAATTGTGCTATATACAATCCTTATATCCCATCCTCTGTGGAGACTTATCCCTAATTTATTAGATTAACAAACTAATTGGATAATTCTTGCTTCTACTCTCTCAACACCTACAAGCTGCTCTCGAAACAACAGCAAAAGTGATAAGTCAGACCCTGTCTTTTGACATGCCGGTGTTTCGTATGCTCCTCAAAGGGAAATCCAGAGACCATAGGATGTCATCTAGGCCCTCATTACCTTCACGGCCACTCTTTCTACTTACTCCTTTAGATCTTGCCATACTGACCACCTCATGTTCCTAAAACATACTGGTAATAGGTTTAACTCAGAGATTCTTCTTGGAATATTCTTTAAAATTCAGTATGACTGATTGAAGAAGGCTGATGGAGATGAACTTAGAAAAATATCAGTATAGGGACAATATAGGGAAACATGTGGCTAGACAAACAAACAAAAAACCCGCAGCAATTGGTAAGGCATCCTATTACTGAAAGGAGAAAGCATGAAGAGAATAAAGCTACACAGAAGAAAGCAAAACTGGGTAATAAAAACATATGACAAAAAATACAACCAAATAACATTGTTAGAATGCCTGCACTTGGCTTTACCTGAGGGACTTTTAAATTTTAAAACCCTGTACATTTCTTCATTAGTTTATGTAGGTGTCTCACTCACAAAAGAAAGAGACTTGGACTACTTCAGGTTTTCAGCAATTTGAAGTAGCTTGCTGTGATTTGTTTGGGGAGTCTGGGTAGCCATGAATAGAAAGAAGAAAAATGTTTGGAAAGGATGACAAAGTCAAGTTTCAGGGAATAATTGAGAACAAAAAATCTCTATAAGCTTTTTAGCAGTGAATAAGTGGATTACTGAAATTAGATCTGATGTCAAATTCCTGCTCCACCAACCCAAGCTGTGTCACCTTTGAAAAGCTAATCTTCCTAATCATTGGTTCTCTTATCTTTAAATTGGTAATGGAATATTTCTCATAGAATGGTTAGGATAGTGCTTAACTTGATGTCAAGCTATGAATGAAAGTTAA